AGCGGCTTTGGGGGGGGTGGAAAAAGGGACCTTCCACTCCAGGCTGTACACAGAGCGGAGGGAAGGGAACTCACAGCAGGCCAGATGAGCTGCTTCATGCCCTGGGCCAGGGAGGACCCAGCCCAGGCTGCAGTTTCCCCTGCGAACGAAGGCATGTTGGGTTCGTCCCCCCACTGTGCAGGGGGTGCAGGTAGCCTGTGCCCAGGCGTGGAGGGGCTGGGATGGAGCTGGGTTTGGGGCTGACCAGGAGGGCATTTCTCTTGCAGGCACACAATGACATGCTGCAGACGTTCGAGGCAAAGCTGACAGCTTTTGGGATCCCCTTGGACAACCTGGGCTTCAAGCCCCTGGCGAGCCCCATGCTGGGGCAGGCGGTGGGACAGGGCCCTGCAGGACTTGTTGCTGTGCCCACCTGACGCCAGTCAGCATCGAGGGACCCACCGTGCTGGACAGGGAGCGGAGCTGTGCCCTGTTGGTGCTCCGCACCATTAAACAGACCCCAGTGAGCCTTCTGGAGGACCTGAAGGACCCTCTCTCTCCTCCCCAGAGGGGCCTTTCCCCTAGAGCAGCCCCCCAACTCCTGCCATGGGGGATGCCAGCCACAGGCAGATGCCAGCTGGGTCAGTTCTGACCAAGTGGTGCCAGTGTGGCCCTGGACCACGGCACAGCCGGGTGGCTCCTGGCATCTCACCTGCTGGACCAAGCTGGAGTAGGGAGAAGGGGCTTGTGAGGGCCCCCCCCAGCTCTCCCTGCCTCCTGGGCTGGCTCCCCTCCTTTCCCCCTCCAGCAGCCGTGCGTGTGCTGCCCTCAGGAAGGAGATTTTTTGAGACAAACGGTGCTGTTTGAAGCCTTTAATGGTGTTGGTGGAGTAGTTTCCCCCCAGCAGCTGACCTGCATCCCTGGGTAGGGAGGGGCTGGGGTTGTGCCTTTCCCTTAACTGCCGCGGTAAGTTGTGTAGGAGTAGGGGCTGATCAGCAGTGGGATGTGCAGCTTCTGGGCCGGGTCAGCGATGGTGAAGACAACCTGGGGGAAAGCAAGAAGGCAGCGGCTGGGATTCCCCTCCAGCGGGGCTCTGCTAGCTGGAGCCGGGCGCTGTGGGATGCTCAGAGCAGAGCCGGCAGTGCTGCAGGACAGAGCAGGCTCCCCACGCGAGTCTGACCATGGCACCCAGACCCTAGGGATTTGGCCACAACTGGCTCCCATGACCCCTGTCCCCTCCTCCCTGTGCTCTGTACCTCCACGAAGGGGTAGAAGCTGGTGTGCCCCAGGCCCTGCCAGTACGCTGCCGTCTCAAAGCGCAGCTTGTAGGTGCCAGCCTTGGCCTGCCCCGGAGCCAGGAGGGGCGGGCAGCGCCCGTCGTGGTCTGTCCACCTGAAAACAGAAGGAGCAAGTTCTGCCGCGGTGGCTGTCCAAAAAGTGGGCCGGTGGGCCGGCAGGCCTGGCTGCCGGCAGCCCCGTGACCGTGTTCAGCACGTGGGTGGTCAGCAAGCCATTCACCGTCTCGGACATGCCTTCGGCCTGGGGCAGAGGAGTAAGCAGGGCTGAGACATGTTCCGGCAGCACCGTCTGCCTCCCCCCTCTGCCATGCTGTGGCAGGCAGTGCCGCAGTCAAGCCCCCAAGTGCCCCCACCCTTGGCCACCCTGCCTTTGTGCCCCCTCCCCACAGCCCCTGGGCCACCAGCCGCGCAGCTGGGGCTGTGCCA